GTTTGTGTTTTTTTCCAGAATCTCTCCGGTCTGTGCTGGTTTCATCTCATCATTATGGAACTGCAGTGAGAAAAGACGGATCAGAGACGGCGTTTACCCAGCAGCTTGCTGATGAACGGCTGAGTCTTAAAAGGCTCGAAGTCGTCGATGTGTTCGCCCGTCCCGATGAAGATGATGGGACTCCTGGTGGCCGCCACTCTGACAACAGAACAGAACCCAGATCAAGCAGCGGCCCACGGGGCCCAGCGGCCGTGCGGCGCGACCCGGCAGAGGTTCTTACGCGCTCAGAGCTCCGCCTCCTTTGGCGTGGCCGTCCAGCTTGGTGACGATCACCGACGCTACGTCCACCTTGTCCTTAAAAGCTTTAGCCTGGGCCTCGCAGGCCTGACCGATCGACGCGTCCATCACGTACACAATGTTGTCTGGTTGCTGTGGAAACAGAAGGGAGGAGCTCAGAGGCGGGTGGAACAGAGCGCCGTAAAGTGGTCCGTCCCTCAGGAACTCACCACGGCGTTGGACACCTGCAGCATCTCCTCGAACAGGGAGTCCTCCTGCTTGTGTCTCCCACTGGTGTCCACGATGATGATCTCAAAGTTCTCCCCTTTGAACTTCTCCACACCTTCAGCGGCGATCACCACCGGGTCCATCTCAGTGTAACTGAGCCCAAAACACAGGAACCATCAGGGGGGGGATCCTGAGGGGGGAGAGGGGGGTGGAACGATACTAACCTGCCGTAGAAAGGGATCCTGGCTTTGGTGGCATTTTGTTTGAGCTGATCGAAGGCACCTGGAGACGAGAGGCGGTTTAAACACAAGAGCAGAAGAAGGTGGGGGTGAGGGGGTGGGGGGTTAGCCTACCCGCTCTGAAGGTGTCTGCACAGATCAGGCAGGTCTTCCAGCCTTTCCTCTGGTAATAGTAAGCCAGCTGCAGCAGAAGATGGGCAACGTTAGTGGACCACAGGAGGAAGAGAAGAAAAACGGAACCAGACAGGGGTCCCCTGTTAGGGTCGGAGGCCCTCAGGAACCATGTGATCAGCACCGAGGGCCCCAAATCCCAGAACATTTAGGGTCCTACAGCTAATGGAACAAACATCTCATCATTTCACAAACAAAAGCTGAGTTCTTCCTGAAACCAACAGTGGAAATTAACTCACCAGCCGAGTCAACAGAAAAACTAACTCATATATATTTAAAGAACATATTATTTCTTTAAGACTTTATGTTAAAATGCAAACAAAGTTTCACTAAACGTTGGAAACCTGTCATACCACTAATGATGCAATTATTATTTTTTTTTTACCCCCCCCCCAACTCTCAAAGTCTGGAACCTGTACCTCTCATACTCTTGAAATCACTCTGTTGTTGTGTTTTGTATCTTATGTTTAAAAGTGTAAAAATACACATGTACATTCGTACCACACTGTATTATTTGGATGCAAACAAAGTTACTGTCAAAGGTAAAAAACTGCAGATTATTTTAATTTGTCCTACTGTCCATAAATCAAAGAGTGGCCTTTCTTCCAGTGGCATGGGCAGCAACATCTCTGTGTGTCAGCGCTGCTGCATCATCAGTTGCAATGCAATGAAATACCTCGGCTCCAGACGTCCCCGCCCCCTCCACAGACGCTCCGCTGCACCTCTCCCAAATTGTAGCTGATTGCAAACAGTGCCGCAGACAGGAGGCCGGCTTGTTTTGTTTTTATGACCGAAACTGCGGAAAACAACTCGTGAAGTTTGACCCGCTAGAAGAGCGAGGTGCGCGAGAACGCAGGGACCATTTTTCCACCTGGATCTCCACTCTTTTTGGCCCTCATGTCCCTCCGTCGTCGGACAAAATTTGCCCCCACTTCCTCGCCGCCTCGGCCGTATCTAGACCCACAGCGTGTAGCATAGACCACGCTTCAATATTGAGCATAAATCAAAAATGTCTGTATCAAGCTTACTGCAACACACTGCTGTAAGAGTATAACCAGGAAGCGAGGTAGGAGGGCAAAATAGGTTTAGCGCCACCGCAGCACGGGAGGGAGAATTACGCCCAGGAGCAAATGGATAAAAATAGACCAGAGAAAAAAAATTAAAAATGAATCGATTCTCTTGCGGACGTGTCGATGCATCAGATCGTCGGCTTTTGGATTGATGCATCGATACAAAACGATTATTATTTACACCCCTACTCTCGCTTTAACTCATCTCGTTTCGCGAGTGTTAATTTTGGACCCTGGTTCCGAGCCTGTAATGGACCGTACGGACCGTTTCTGGCTTGTTAGATGTGGCCCCGGGTCTGATCAGCTGCCTATGGTTCCAGGATAACAATTATAACAAACACGGATCTATAATGAGTAGAACAGCGTTCTCGTTGGAGCTCTAGAAGATCTGAGGTGCGTCCGTTTACCTTGGAGCAGGTGGTAGTCTTGCCGCTGCCCTGCAGACCAACGAACATGATGACATTGTTCTTTCCTTTGGTTGGAGTCCAGGCCTTCACCCCGGGGTCCACCAGCTGGAACACAGGCCATACGTGACACACATGAACATGACACAGCAGAGAGGAGTTCAGAGGCCGCCTGCTAAACCCACCTTCACCAGCTCCTTGAAGACGGCGTGCTGGATCATCCTCCTCTTGTTCAGCCCTGAGGCCATCTCCTCCAGGTCTATGGCTGACCTGCAAGGAGAAGCAAGGAGGGACTTAAACCTGGCAGCGAGCCGGCAGCACGGGCTGAGGACAGAGGGACAGCAGCGTACTTACTTGACGTTTTCTCGCAGCTGTTTGACCAATTTGATGTTGACGTCTGCCTCCAGCAGAGCGGCACACACCTCCTTCAGCATGGCGTTCAACACCTGGAAACATACAGCAGCTCCTAAAGCCCAGCTTCTCTCTGTCTCTCTAAGCCGTTCATTCAAAATTATTTGGTAATGGAAGTGTTAACCAGAGAAATGAAACCAACTAACGTACAGCAATAATTAAGAAAAAAACTCCACAACAAACAAACGTTTTACATCAAATACTCTTATTGAGATCTGTATAAACATGGATGGAGAGTTTTATTTTTTTTTTATTTTCTCCCAAACATTTTTAATTTAAAATGCCAAAGCTTTTTTTTCCAAAGATTTGTTTAATTAGAAATAATTTTCATTTTTTGAAGACATTCCTTATTAACAATGGATCTATTATGTGATTACTGCAGTGAAGTTGATTGGGGCACCTGATACTTGGTATGTTTTTTTTTTGTTTTTTTATGGGGGGGGGGGGGGGTGCAGATGAGATTGTTGAATGATATTGATGCTTTAGATATTTCCAGTGTTTGATCAACAGATTTTAATTCAGTCAGAGAGGAATAGATCGTTTACTACCAACCAGTAGCAAATTAAATTAACGCGCTGACTCTAGATGCAGGCCGATTGATTTCTGAAACTACCACTGGTCTCATAGCCTGGGTGCCAGTCCGAACTTAGTCCCACCCACAAGGTTTGAGTTCGGGGAAGTTCGGTCTGGCTCTGCT